GAACCACAGTCAAGAGATGTAAAAATGTTATAACTTTACTGAGTATCCATTCACAATTGTGTTCAGTGCACAAGAACTCCATCTTTAGGCCCTGGTATTTGTACATATACACTATATGTACTGTGTGTGTGTGTGTAGTGCACACACACACACCCACACACACAATCTCCAGGTTGCTTTTTCTGGAAAATCATTAGACAAAAACTCTACAGCCATTTATATTAGCCCACCTGTCCATCATCTTGAGAACAAAAAAGGTCCTCTTGTAATAAACAACATTTCCCATGGTCTAGCTGCCAAATACATAGAAGTCAACTGCTCAGCACCTAAAATCTCTGAAAACAATGTGTTTATCATTTACATATAATCTACTTCTATAAAGTCAAGGAAATTTAGCATAATACATTCATATGCACAGAACGGCTGAAATAAGGATATAAAAAGATCAAAAGCAGAGATTCTTAACTTTAAGGATTCAGGATATGCTTCATAGGATGCAAGGACCTCTTGAAATTATTTTTTTTTATTTATTTATTTTTCCCCCAAAGCCCCAGTAGATAGTTGTATGTCATAGCTGCACATCCTTCTAGTTGCTGTATGTGGGACGCGGCCTCAGCACGGCCAGAGAAGCGGTGTGTCAGTGCACACCCGGGATCCGAACCCAGGCCGCCAGCAGCGGAGCGCGCGCACTTAACCACTAAGCCATGGGGCCGTCTTGAAATTAAAACACAAATTGTGTGTGAATCTAGAGGTTTCACCAGATCCTAAAGGGTTTTGATAACTCACAAAAAAGCCCTAGTAGAGCAATGAAATAGTTATTTCTGGCATACGCTAATTTGGCCTTAATCTTCCTGGTGGCCAAGGCAAAGAACAAAATCAACAACTTTCATCTGATCAAGGAAGCGCACTGATTTGGGGGAAGAGACACTTAAGTGCAAAAGTGTGAATTATTTATAAAATAGAGCCAGCTATAGGAACAATAAGGAAACATGTCAGACAGTATCTCCAAGGAGGTTTTAGGGAACAAGTAGACTTGTTCTTCACATCAACCCCTGAAAAAGCTTTGGGTAAGGAGCCTACACAAGCATGTTACATGCTTTGTGGTGATCTAAACTTTAGTAACCCAAGACCAGAGCTTATAAAGTCATCAAGAATGAATGTGCACCTACTTGGAAGAACAGTTCATGTTTCCTCCTTATCACATCACTGGGACCCAAACTATAGTGTTCCATCACATAAGGGACCCAGGAAATACCTACTCCATTACATTACAAATCTTCTACACTAGGAGTATAATTTGAATATTAAAAAATCTTCTACTACATCATGAACGAAGAGAAGGACATTTCATGCATCATCTCTAGTTGTGCTGATGATAACCATAAATGTTCTCCTTGAGTAAGAATTTATAAGATGATAACTCATTTCCTAAGTAAAAACACACTTTAAAAAGACAAAAAGTATTTACTGGTCTGAAGAGCTATCAGAAATTTAAATGACTCTTTAAAATTTAAAACTCATTCTATATGCAACTAGAAAAATCACATAGATTTGAACAGGAGCAAACAGCACAGTGATTAAGAGACCTGCTTCACACTTAGGCCTGTGACACTGAACAAGTCCTTCAACCTCACCATGCCTTGGGCCTCTCACCCTTAGCATGGAATTAATTACAGTAACCACCATAGGGGAATTTAATATGTGTAAAGTACTGAGAACAGGCTGGCACACAGTAAATGTTCAATAAATGTTTGCTATTTTGAATAGCAATATGTGGAGAACTAAATGCAATAGATCCATCAAGCAGAGAACAAAATCACATTAAAGACATGTTAGACTCCTGTTTTCCTCCCTAAAACTCTATACTCTCTAATCTTACTTCCCTCACTAAGTTAATGTATAGTATCCAAAATGAAGATTGATAATTAGCGAGAGCTTTTAATAAGCTAACAGCCTGGATATACTTTTTATATCTAATAGTGATATAAAACTGACCACCTTATCTCATAATCAAGTAATCTGCTTTATAAAATGTATTATAATATGAGACATGACATTACTCTGGTTTGGCTTTATAAATCAAGGCTAAATTTCAAAAGATTTAGAATCTCTAACTACAAAATTCCTTCTGAGTAAGGTAGTCACTTGAAATCAAGTAATATCTCCTTTCTTTGTTCAATAAAATTATATAGGACAACATATACTATCCATCATCATAAACAGATACTACTGTTCAAAAGAAATAAGAAATAATCTCATTGATATCTCAGCTTCCGATAATTTTATTTTAGGACAAAATATATGACTGAGAATTATGGATCACTATTATGTTTGGTTTTTTTCTTAGAAAAAAATGTACTTCAAGTCTACCACATCTAATTTAGGAAGCAACCCATCCAATTGTGGCAGATTTGATTCCTAGGCAGATTTGCCAGAATTATTGAGGTACTGAGTAGGGAAGGTATGGGAATTTAAAAACACAAAGATAACCCATCAGTCCAGTGGACACAGGAGGATATGTTGCATGATGGCTGCAG